TCCACGCCCACCTGACCGTGAAAAATGTGTTCCAACCAACCTGCCCGTGACCCTTTGTGCCAGTGATTTCATGGGTATGACATTTTTCGCCATCGTAACTCTTTGGCCGACAAGTGACGACCGCCGGTCGCATGGCCGGTTGCGACCAACTGGTCTTCTCTGCGCCGTTATATGCTTTAACTCGGTTTTTTTTTTTTGCTCCAGCCTTAAAGCTGCAGCAGGTGTGTTCCTTTATACCATTGATCTTATGTGTTTTATGAATAACATGAGTACAAGTGTAGCATCCTACGTTTGCTCATTGTGTTTTATAGTCATTGTTTACCAAGTGTAGGTGTTCTGCAAACGTGGCCATGGCAACAGTTGTTGTCAGAGTCCCAAGGCTGCAAGAGCCAATAAGCGTCGTGTAGGGAACTTTTTTTTTTGGCGGGAGAATCATCCAGCCCAAGGTTGGATGACCAGATTGTCAGAACATATAGCTTGTGCTTATTGTGTAGGTTATAGTGGGGTAGCCCATAAGGGGTACAACCCAATTAGGGTTAGTACTTGTACTCAGTTCATTCATAGTTCATTCATTCTCGTTCTCATTTTCTCACAGATCTGGACACGGGCTTCTCTGTGTGTGGTGGATGGGTATGAATGGATGTTTTCGTGCTCATTTGCTCTTTTTCATTTGCATTTCATGCTCCGCAAGCTCTTTGAGATCTTTTCATCCAGCACCTGTTAGTCCACCAGCGTAGTCTTTTAAGCCTGCTTGGCCCACTGGCAGAACATTGGCGTCCTTGACGTAGTAACGTAGGTCGTATAGAGTGGGTTTGTCCGGCGCTGGAGGCGTGCTGCTGGTGCTGGAGGTTCTTCGGCTACTGAGGGTGCTGCTGTCGCGGGTCCCGGAGGTGCTCGTACTGGGAGTACTGGAGCTGCTGAGCCTGCGGGTTTGACTGGAGCTGGTGCTGCTGAGGGTGTTGGAGCTGAGACTACTGCTGGCGGTCCTACTGTGGGTACTCCTGGTACTACTGGAGGTTCTGGCACTGCTGGAGGTGCAGCTGGAGCGGGTGCTCCTACTGGGGGTTCTCGTGCTGTACCTGCTGTGTGTGGCGTCGCCGCGCGGCCTCGACCGTACTTTCTTCCACTCCTGCAGCAGGTTCTTGGTCTTCCGCCTTCTACTGGTCCTCCTCCTTCTTTAAGGTGTCCACAGCCAATCCCGTCACAGTTACAGTTGCATCCTACCTCCCCTTTGCCTGCTCCTTCTCCCTACACTGGTCCTACTGGAGGTCTTACTGAGCGTCGTGAGCCTGCGTCTCGCCCTGCGTCGCCTGTCCGTGCTGCTCGCGCTAGTGGTCGTGGTTCGCGTCAGCGTCCTCCTCCTGTCCCTGGCACGCACAGGATGTCTCTGCGTCCGTCCACTGCTCCTCTCCTCCTGAGTCCTCTCTTCCTGCTCTTCCCGACCCGGAGTCGGACTCTCTTCGTGCTGCAAGTCCTACTGTCACGCGTCTCCTGGCTACTGTCGTCATTGACCCTTCTTTCGAGTCCACTGCTGCGTCTGCCCTAATTGCTGAGCTCGTCGACTTTGCTGCTCACTGTCGCCTAGACTACGCTGCTAGTCTTGTCGCTGAGTCAAAGTCTGTCTGTCCTCCGTCCGTCGGGGGTGAGTGTGCCCTTGGCACGGACGTCCTTGAGGACAGGCAGGAGGAGTTCCAGTGCTTGGCCGCTGCTTCACCTCATCTCGTGTCCGTACTGCTTACCCCTGAGGGAGACCCGGATGCACTTGACATCCCGACTCCGCGCTCTTACGCGGAGGCGATAGAGGGTCCCTACTCTTCTCAGTGGCCGGCAGCTATGGATGCAGAGACGGCTTCCTGGAAGTCCACAGGCACCTACGTTGACGATGTCCCCCCTCCTGGGGCGAACATCGTCAGTGGCATGTGGATCTTCAGGGTGAAGCGGCCGCCGGGTTCTCCGCCTGTCTTCAAGGCGCGTTACGTGGCTCGTGGCTTCAGTCAGCAGCAGGGAGTTGACTCCTTTCAGACCTTCTCTCCCACCCCAAAGATGACCACTCTTCGGGTACTGCTGCACGTAGCTGCTCACCGTGACTACGACCTGCACTCTCTCGACTTCAGCACTGCTTTCTTGCAGGGCAGCCTGCACGAGGAGATCTGGCTACGCCGCCCACCTGGCTTCACTGGGTCTTTCCCTCCTGGTACCCAGTGGAGTCTCCGGCGTCCAGTCTACGGTCTCCGCCAGGCGCCACATGAGTGGCACGACACACTGAGGACTACGCTTGCGGCTCTTGGGTTTTCTCCTTCTACTGCCGACCCGTCGCTGTTTCTGCGCACCGACACTTCTCTGCCGCCGTTCTACATCCTCGTGTACGTCGACGACTTGGTCTTTGCCACAGCTGACACTGCTGGACTCGCCCACGTGAAGTCCGAGCTGCAGAAGAGACACACGTGCACAGACCTGGGTGAACTGCGCAGCTACCTTGGCTTGCAGATCACCCGGGACAGAGCACACCGCACCATCACCCTGACTCAGTCACACATGGTGCAGCAGGTCCTTCAGGGCTTCGGCTTCACGTACTCCTCGCCTCAGGCCACTCCACTGCCTACTCGCCACTCGCTCTCAGCTCTGCCTTCGGATGAGTCTGTAGAGTCGAGTGGCCCGTACCCAGAGCTTGTTGGCTGCCTCATGTACCTGATGACCTGCACTTGACCTGACCTTGCATACCCTCTTAGCATTCTCGCACGCTATGTTGTTGTTGGGAGACACCGACCAGAGCACATGGCTGCAGCGAAGAGGGTGTTGCGCTACTTGTGCAGTACGTCGGGCATGGGGCTAGTGCTTGGAGGGCGGAGTCCAGTAGTCCTCACTGGGCACGCGGACGCTTCTTGGGCTGACGACCAGGCTACGCAGCGGTTGTCACAGGGTTACACCTTCAGCCTTGGTTCCGGCTCTGTTTCGTGGCGGGCTACTCGCTCGTCTTCTGTTCTCGGCTCCAGTTGTGGGGCTGAGATCTACGCAGGGGCCATGGCTGCACAGAAGCTTCGCTGGCTCACCTACCTGCTGACCGACCTTGGAGAGTCGCCTCGTTCTCCTCCAGTCCTGTACGTAGACAACAAGGCCATGCTGGCCTTGTGTCGAGAGCAGAGACTGGAGCACAGAACAAAGCACATTGCTCTTCGCTACTTCCTTGCTCGTGAGCTACAGCAGCGTGGTCAGTTGCAGCTTGCGTACGTGGCCTCTGAGGCCAACACTGCTGATGTCTTCACCAAGGCACTTGCGCCTTGTGATCATCAGCGCTTCTGCACGCAGCTGGGTCTTGTGCCTGTCTTGCCTCACTTGCTCACCTCTTGACCTTGCTTGTACTGTTGCATATATATACACCTGCTCTTGCTTGTCTTGTCCTTTATATATATGTACTCCTGCATGTGAACTGGCCTTGCGGCCTTGAACTTGTGCTCAGAATGTGTGGTGACTTTGTGATCCACCCTGAGCTTGCTTTGCTTGACTGGTCTTGTGACCCCTTGTTCTCCCCCACTTCGCCTATGGGGGTGTGTCAGAACATATAGCTTGTGCTTATTGTGTAGGCTATAGTGGGGTAGCCCATATGGGGTACAACCCAATTAGGGTTAGTACTTGTACTCAGTTCATTCATAGTTCATTCATTTTCGTTCTCATTTTCTCACAGATCTGGACACGGGCTTCTGTGTGTGTGGTGGATGGGTATGAATGGATGTTTTTGTGCTCATTTGCTCTTTTTCATTTGCATTTCATGCTCCGCAAGCTCTTTGAGATTTTTTCATCCAGCACCTGTTAGTCCACCAGCGTAGTCTTTTAAGCCTGCTTGGCCCACTGGCAGAACATTGGCGTCCTCGACGTAGTAACGTAGGTCGTATAGAGTTGGTTTTTTTATGTTGGGTCAGCCCGGTTAGGATAACTGCAGTCGCACTTGCTAGGTCGATTATGTAGGCGCAGATCTGTGTGGTAGAATATTTTGTCGGTAGAACTGTTTGTATTTGCCCGGAACACTTGTCGTATGTCGCCCGCTCTTGTAGCCGGACATCTTCGACGCTAGGCTTTTTTTATCGGTAGAAGTATTCGCTGCCTGGAAAGTGTGGGTGCAGCCAAGCCTCATCATGGGCGGCAGGTCACTGCGCGAAGTCTTTGCAGAGTTCGACCGGTATAAGAAGAAGGACAAGAATTCCAGCTTCATCACCGCATATTCCCGGTTCGCTGACAAAGGTACGCCCGGGATGGCTGTGGGTGCATGCGAGTGAAAGATGCGTCGCGTGCATCGTGTCATGGTTTCCGTGGAGACGCTAAGAAAAGACAGCACCGAGGCGGCGACCGCAACGGCCATTAAGCTGCTGGACGTGGTTTTACTCGTGTGCAACTTCACGGAATTCACCAACGGCCTGGCGGTGCTGCATGAGACTCCGCCCATCACGAAACAGAAGACCGGTTCGTCAACGGAAAAGAGGACCGTCAACGACTTGGCGCAACGCAGAGTGGGCTGGCTGTTAGTCAAGAAGGGCCTTCGCGACCAGGAGTGGGCAACTTCGCTGTTTGAGGATGATGAGTGGGAGGAGATCCACAAGGAACACATGGCGCAGGAGAAGGCAGAAGAGGAGAAACAACGAACCGCTGCGGCGAAGAAGGCGGAACGGGAAAAGGCGAAGGGCGAAGCGTCGAAACGCTAGGAGCAGAAATGAGGGGGCATGTACCTTAAGGGTGGGGCGGTTTAGTTATTTGGGTACTTTATTCTGGTTGTACTGAATATGCACTACAGGCACTTGTATGTCTCTGTAGAAGCCCGATTTGGGGCTTGTATGCCACCTTCTTCCCTGGCCGCGCTGTTTTTCGTAGAAGGTTTTTCTGGTCTATGCATTGAAGCACACATCGATGTTATACACCCGGCAAAATTCTGTATACGTTTTGGTATGCATAGGAATACCGTATACGATTCTTAACAAGGTGCTCCCTAAGACAAGATGTTATGCGATTGTTTAGCCCCATACTTCTACCTCCTCGTAGAAGCCGAGTATTAAACGTAGATTAATAGGCCGCCTCCTGGACACCTCTACGTTCTGTCCGGGAACAATAGCCACGCCCTCTGCTACATTTGCCTCCCCGCTCTCAATCAACAGCAAACTCCCCAGGCCCTCAGCTATTTCCTCCTCGACTCCCTTCCTGGTCCCCTCCCCCTGCATGGTCAAATCCTCCTCTTCCATCTCCCTTGCCAATTGTTCCATCTCTTCAGCCATCGCCTTTGCCTTTGCCTCCAGTTGCCGCAGCTGTTCCGCGTAGGATGCAAGTCTGGCCCTCTTCTCTGCTCGGCACTGCTCCACCTTCTGCAGGCGCTCCATCTCCTGCTGTTTCGCCCTCTGCCGCCGCTCGGCCTCCTCTGCCTCCTTCTTCTGTGCCTCCTCCTTCTGCAGGCGCTCCATCTCCTGCTGTTTCGCCCGCTGCTGCCGCTCAGCCTCCTCTGCCTCCTTCTGCGCCTCCTCCTTCTGCAGGCGCTCCATCTCCTGCTGTTTCGCCCGCTGCTGCCGCTCGGCCTCCTCTGCCTCCTTCTGCGCCTCCTCCTTCTGCAGGCGCTCCATTTTCTGCTGTTTCGCCCGCTGCTGCCGCTCGGCCTCCTCTGCCTCCTTCTTCTGCGCCTCCTCCTTCTGCAGGCGGTCCAGTTCCTGCTGTTTCGCCCTCTGACACCGCTCTACCTCCTCTGCCTCCTTCCTCTGCCTCTCCTCCTTCTGCAGGCGCGCCATCTCCTGTTGTTTTTCCCTCTCTTGCCTCTTGGCCTCCTCTGCATCTTTCCGCTGCGCCTCTTCCTTCTGCAGGCGCGCCATCTCCCGATGTTTCTCCCTCTCCACCCGCTCTGCTTCCTCTGCCTCCTTCCTCTGCGCCTCCTCATTTTGCTGGTGCTCCTTCTCCTGTTGTTTCTCCCTTTCCTCCCGATCGTCCTCCTCAGCCTCCTTCCTCTGCGCATCCTCCTTCTATCGCCGATCTCCCTCCGTTGCCTTCCTACCCTGCTCCTCCTTTTGCCGCCGCTCTGCGTCCAATCTCAGAACTACTGACAGCCGCTTTTCCACCTCACTTAGCATCCCCTCCTTCCACCCCTTCATCCCTGTCTTCATCTCCTTCACAGCCTCCATCACTTCCTTCATTCCCGCCTCCACCTCCGTCTGCCGTCGCTCTTCCTCCTGATGTTTCTTCTTCCTCCGCCGCTCGGTGGCCTCTACATCCTTCCTCTTCTCCTCCTCCTCCTTCCGCCATTGCTCGTCCAGTTGTTTCTTCTTCTGTCTCTCCTCGTCGTCCGCCACTTGTTTCCTCTTCGCGTCCTGCTTTTGTCGCCGCTCCGCGTTCTCTTCCCTCTCCTTCTTCTGCCGCTCGGATTCTTCTCGCAAAACCGCGCTCAACCTCCCCACAATCTGGTTTACCATCCCATCCTTCATCTCCTTCATTTCTGCCTTCATCTCCTTCATCATCGCCTCCTTCATCTCCTTCATTCCCTCTCTCATCTCCTTCTGCCGACGCTCTTCCTCCTGCTGTCGTTCCTTCTTCCGTCTCTCTGCGACGTCTGCTTCCTTCCTCGTGGCCTTCTGCCTCCGCTCCTCGTCCTGCAGTCTATCCCTGTTCCGCCGCTCAGAGTCTTCTCTAAGAACCTCTCTCAACCTCTCTTCCACCCCCTTTAACGTGCCCTCCGCCATCCCCCCTCCCGACTGGCGAACCTGATCACTCACCCTTATGATACTCTCCTGCAAGTTGGAGAGTCTCGTGTCCACCTGCTCGCGAAACCTGGCCGTCGTTTCAGCTTGGCGCCGCCGTTCCTCATTTCCATGGCGGACTTCTTCCAGGTTGGCCAGGGCGTCGCGGCAGTAATGGACGGTCAGATCGGCCACGTCGCGACTGATGCTGCTGTTGCGGGCCGCCAAGTTGCAGAACGTCTGCGTCACCATTCGGGCTAAGAGCGTCAGACGACACTTTACCTCTGCCGAGCTTATGTCCCAGCTTTCGGCCTCGACGAACCTGTCACCTTGTTCGACCAGGACTGTACTCGTCCGATGCAGCATCCGCCGTATTGGCGTCTCTGCCTCGACCCACTCTACCTACCAAAACGCTTCTGCCACCCCGCCTTGGCCAAGATTCCTCTCCACTGCTCTCTGATGAAGGGTAGGCCGCCTCTGCCGGTTGAGATCCACTGTATCCCTAGGCGCCCCATCGTCTGCCACCCTCCATGGCCCCTCTACCCCGGTTCCTGGTCCCCGCGTCGGACTTCCTCCCAAAAATATCCGGACTGCCGAATGTACCGTATCCTCCTCATTCTGCTCCTATTCTGTTTCCAGCGCATCTCCCTCGTAGTGCCCCACTCCAGCCTCCGGGACCACACGAACCTCCTCCATAGTATTTTGACGCTCTGTCTCTGCCATGCTCTGCGTCTCTCGGTATGCGAATACCTGCGACGCTGCCTCCTCGTCATGCTGCCCCTCTTCCTCTGCGATGATGTGCCCCTCAGCACCCGCCGTCTCCCGTCCCTCTGTCTGTATCATTTTATTCCCATCTGAACCCTCCTCTCCATCTGGCTTCCTACGTTCGTCAGCCTCAGCCTGCTTCTGCTCCTCGGCCTCCGCCATCTTCTGCGCCTCACCCTCCGCCTTCTGCCGCGCCTCTACAACAGCCTTCTTCCGCGCTTCTGCCCGAGCCAGTTGTAGTGCCTCTTCCGCAGCCTGTTTCTGCTCCTCTGCCTCCGCCTTCTGCCGCGCCGCTGCTTCTGCCTTATTCCGAGCCTCTCCTTCCTTATGTGCGTCTGCCTCCTCCATATGCAGCGCCGCTGCCTTATCCTTCTGCCTCGCTGCTGCCTCTGATTCCTTGTGCGCCTCTGCCTCAACCATCTTCGGCGCCGCACCCTCCTCCTTCTACCTCGCCGCTGCCTCTGATTCCTTGTGCGCCTCTGCCTCAACCATCTTCGGCGCCGCACCCTCCTCCTTCTGCTGCGCCGCTACCTCAGATTCCTTCTGCGCCTCTGCCTCAACCATCTTCGGCACCGCACCATCCTCCTTCTGCTGCGCCGCTGCCTCAGATTCCTTCTGCGCCTCTGCCTCAACCATCTTCGGCGCCGCACCATCCTCCTTCTGCTGCGCCGCTGCCTCTGATTCCTTCTGTGCCTCTGCCTCAACCATCTTCGGCGCCGCACCCTCCTCCTTCTTCTGCCCCGCTGCCTCTGATTCCTTCTGCGCCTCTGCCTCAACCATCTTCGGCGCCGCACCCTCCTCCTTCTGCTGCGCCGCTGCCTCCAATTTCTTCTGCGCCTCTGCCTCAACCATCCTGGGCGCCGCACCCTCATCCTTCTGCTGCGTTGCTGCCGCTGATTCCTTATGTGCGTCTGCCTCATCATTCTGCTGTGCCGCTGCCTCATCCTTCTGGCTCGCCGTTGCCTCTGATTCCTTCTGCGCCACTGCCTCCACCACCTGCAGCTCGACTGCCTCCGACGTCAGCTCTGCTGTTGCAACCGCTTCTTTACGCGCGACTGCCTCCCCACTCTTGACCGCCTTTGCACCCACCTTCTGCTGCGCAGCGGCCTCTGCTTCCTTTGGCGCCCCGTCCTCTGCCGTAAGTGCCGCCTCTGCATCGACGAACCGATGGGCCGCATCCTCTGCATTCTGGTGCGCCTCTACCTCCGCCATCTTATGAGCCTTTGCACCCGCGTTGCTCTGCGCCTTCTTTTTCGCCTCTCCCGAATTCTCTGGCACGTCGACGTCCCCTCTCCGGGCCTCTTCAGCCGCCTTCCGCTTTACGCCGGGCAAGCAAACTTTCACGTATCCCCTATCCTCCTCGATATGATGCCGCACATTGTTGGCGAGCTCCTCTCCTGCCTCTCCCACGTGTGCCCTTGCAGCGGCTCGTGCCCCATGCTCCCATGCTTCACGTATGTCTCCAGTTCCCGGGAAAGAGACGGTAGGATCGGTGTCGCCATCACGGCGCCGTTGCCTCTCTTCAGCCCGTCTCCTCTTGGCTTCTGCTTCGGCCACCCGCTTATCATCAGCCGCCTTCCTCCACTGCTCCTCTGCCTGTTCGACCTGACTTGGCAGCTGTGGATCTTCTACACCCTCCTCGCCGTCATCTGCTACACTTGCCAAGTCGGTCTCCGTCCGTGCTTCGCGTTCCGGCCAGGGCTGTCGATTGGTTTGGAGCCAGAACTTGAGAGGCTGAGGTGCCCCAAAAGTTGCCCTGAAATTTACGGGCTGAGAGCAAACATGGCACTTGAAATCAGGGCTACCAACTTTTTTGCACTTTCGCTAAGGAAACCCCACATCTCTTCGGGTCCGTTATCTTAGGCAAACTACTAAGAGCCAGCTAAGCAATAGGCTGAGGTACGAAACATGTCGATGGATTTGACAGGGATGGGAAAAGTAGGGGAATGGCTGGGAGGAGGCGAGTGGACTGGTGAGGGGATGGAAGGGAGGGAGGTATTAGTATGGGACGATAAGGGCTAGCCGCGGGATCTGCACTTGAAATCCGGGTTAGGCCCACAACCAGCACTTTACGGGGACGGGCTGCCCTCAAATCCAACCCTTAAAATTCGGAATCTGGGCCGAAACCAACCCTTAATGCTCAGGGCATTAAGGGCATTTGCCCTTGAATCGTCAGCCCTGGTTCCGGCGGCCTACTAACCCGATCAGCAAACCTGAGCTGCCTAACTCCAGACCTAACACGCTCGTCCGCACGGGCTGACCTTGATGTCGGGCCACTCAGTAGTGCACCCCCCGGTGCAGGTCGTCGGGAATATGAAATTTCCCCTACTCTTGGATTTGCGTCCCGGTTTGCGGCAGGTACGTCTCTCTGTCCCTCTACCGCTTCGGATCTGTTCTGTGCCGCCGGCTCCATGGTATTTCCGGACCGTTCCGGTGCGCTCTCCACCACTCGAGCCTCATGGGTCGTCATGACTGCATCCGGGGCGGGACGGAGCTGGACTCCTTGCAGGTCGAAGAAGGCCCTGCAGGTCGACTCCAGCATACTCCGAATTTCTTTCGCGCTGTTTTTCCCCTTCCCTAAGGCGATCATCGGCTCTGCAGTTTGAATCGCCATGACATCCCCCCATTTGTCCAGCAACTTGCTGAACAGATGGGTAACGTGCAGCCCGGAACCCACTTGCCTCTGTCCCTGAACCTTGTTGATCTGCAACATGTGCGTGAAAAGGTGGTTGTCAGACACTCCCGTAACTTTTTACAAGCTTAATATCATACAACGCTTAAATCATAAAAATAGAGGCTCCTTACCCTGCCTTCCTCTAGAAACAGTTCCTCTAGGCGATCCCTCAAATCTTTCTGCACCGCTTCGGCATGGCTGCCAGAGACCCTGCGACCTCGGCTGTATTCCACATCTAGTTGTCGGATAAGCCAGCTGCAGGGCAAGGGGGTCGCAAATAATCAATAACATGCGTCCACACAAACCGCACATCTGATTAAGGAGTGACACTTACTCGAACACCTCCTTGGCATGGTCGTTGTGGCGATGGGTTGGGATTGGAGATTTAGGGTCGAACTGTAGCACACGCGTACGGTACTCTCCGCGGGGATGTGCTAACAAATCTTGCGGGTTCATCAGCACCATGAGACTTATCGCCGTCGAGTGAACAACAGGGACTCTGCGGTACATCGCAGTTTGGTTAGCAAGATAAGCTGGTGTCATCCACAGACGTTGCGGATCCATGTCAAGAAACTTGAGAAAGTACGAACGAGAAGTGGAATGACTATGAACGAAGTGAGTACAAATAGGAAACCCTAATTGGGTTGTACCCCCTATGGGATACCCCACTATAGCCTACAGAAACAAGTAAGCTATAAGTTCTGACACACCCCCATAGGCAAAGTGGGGGAGAACAAGGGGTCACAAGACCGGTCAAGCAAAGCAAAGCAAAGCTCAGGGTGGATCACAAAGTCACCACGCATTCCGAGCACAAGTTCAAAGGCCACACGGCCAGTTCACATGCAAGATCATATATAGAGATATACAAGAGCAAGAGTATATATATGCGAAAGTACAAGCAAGGTCAAGAGGAGAGCAAGTGAGGCAATACAGGCACAAGACCCAACTGCGTGCAGCAACGCTGATGATCACAAGGCGCAAGTGCCTTGGTGAAGACATCAGCAGTGTTGGCCTCAGAGGCCACGTACGCAAGTCGCAGCTGTCCACGCTGCTGTAGCTCACGAGCAAGAAAGTAGCGAAGAGCAATGTGCTTCGTTCTGTGCTCCAGTTGCTGCTCTCGACACAAGGCCAGCATGGCCTTGTTGTCTACGTACAGGACTGGAGGAGAACGAGGCTGCTCTCCAAGGTCGGTCAGCAGGTAGGTGAGCCAGCGTAACTCCTGTGCAGCCATGGCCCCAGCGTAGATCTCAGCCTCACAACTGGAGCCGAGAACAGAAGACGAGCGGGTAGCCCGCCACGAGACAGAGCCGGAACCAAGGCTGAAGGTGTAACCCTGTGACGACCGCTGCGTAGCCTGGTCGTCAGCCCAAGAAGCGTCTGCGTGCCCAGTGAGGACCACTGGACTGCGCCCTCCAAGCACTAGCCCCATGCCCGACGTACTGCACAAGTAGCGCAACACCCTCTTCGCTGCAGCCATGTGCTCTGGTCGGTGTCTCCCAGGAGCAACAAAGCGTGCGAGAATGCTAAGAGGGTATGCGAGGTCAGGTCGTGTGCAGGTCATCAGGTACATGAGGCAGCCAACAAGCTCTGCAAACGGGCCACTCGACTCTACGGACTCATCCGAAGGCAGAGCTGAGAGCGAGTGGCGAGTAGGCAGAGGAGTGGCCTGAGGCGAGGAGTACGTGAAGCCGAAGCGCTGAAGGACCTGCTGCACCATGTGTGACTGAGTCAGGGTAATGGTGCGGCGTGCTCTGTCCCGGGTGATCTGCAAGCCAAGGTAGCTGCGCAGTTCACCCAGGTCAGTGCACGTGTGTCTCTTCTGCAGCTCGGACTTCACGTAGGCGAGTCCAGCAGTGTCAGCTGTGGCAAAGACCAAGTCGTCGACGTACACGAGGATGTAGAACGGCGGCAGAGAGGTGTCGGTGCGCAGAAACAGCGACGGGTCGGCAGTGGAAGGAGCAAACCCAAGTGCCGCGAGCGTAGTCCTCAGTGTGTCGTGCCACTCACGTGGCGCCTGGCGGAGACCGTAGACTGGACGCCGGAGACTCCACTGGGTACCAGGAGGGAAAGACCCAGTGAAGCCAGGTGGGCGACGCAGCCAGATCTCCTCGTGTAGGCTGCCCTGCAAGAAAGCTGTGCTGAAGTCGAGAGAGTGCAGCTCGTAGTCACGGTGAGCAGCAACGTGTAGCAGAACCCGAAGAGTGGTCATCTTCGGGGTGGGGGAGAAGGTCTGAAAGTAGTCAACCCCCTGCCGCTGACTGAAGCCACGAGCCACGTAACGCGCCTTGAAGACAGGCGGAGAACCCGGCGGCCGCTTCACCCTGAAAATCCACATGCCACTGACGATGTTTGCCCCAGGAGGGGGAACAGCGTCAACGTAGGTGCCTGTGGACTTCCAGGAAGCCATCTCTGCATCCATAGCTGCCTGCCACTGAGAGGAGTAGGGACCCTCTATCGCCTCCGCGTAAGAGCGCGGAGTCGGGATGTCTGGTGCATCCTGGTCTCCCTCAGGGGCTAGCAGTACAGACGCGAGACGAGGTGAAGCGGCGGCCAGACACTGGAACTCCTCCTGCCTGTCCTCAAGGACGTCCGTGCCAAGGGCACACTCACCCCCGACGGACGGAGGACAGGCAGACTCAGACTCAGTGACAAGACGAGCAGCGTAGTCTAGACGACAGCGCGCACCAAAGTCGACAAGCTCAGTGACAAGGGCAGACGCAGCAGACGACTCGAAGGAGGGGTCAGT